TTATTTTTTTATTCATGCATTTGAGCTGCAATAACAGGCGAACCCTTATGATGCAGCATATCTTTGTCTTTTCTAAATAATGTATTTACATGAGTTTTGCTGAATGAAAGTAAAAGATTGTTGTCTATCTCATATTTTAAATGCTAACAAATAACAAATAAAATGTGTCAATATGAATAAAAAAAAAAAATTCAACTTAAAAGTATTGTCAAAGTTGTAAAAAAAAGGAACATAAACAATTAAAAATTTCAACTAAAAAGTTTGTCAGTGCAGTGGTAAAGTTTGATTAATAAAATGCATGAAGAGAGAGTTAATGTTGACTAGATTACAATAGATTGAGAAAAAAGTTATCGGTGATGCTTCTGAGGGCAAGCTCCTTGTTACTCCCTCCCTCAAAGAACATTCCAACAACATAAAAAAACTCAATCATTAACAGGAAGTTTTTCACGAATCACATGTTTGATTTTATTGTTTGATGGTTGTACACTGAGCCATCTATCATTGCACAAGTAAGACTCGTACAATCTCATCAGTCTATTAAATAGTGAATGTTTTCCGGTGTCTGTTTTACTGGTAGTCGTCTTGAATACGTTTGAGCTTCTAGTTGCGTGATCGAGTGCAAAGTGGAAGTGATGGTTTTAAGTCGTTGAGTCTACTGTGGAATGTTATACATTTACGATTGTTATGTGAACAATCATATTCGGGACAGTGCAACCATTGATATTAAAGCGATGTAAAAAAAATGATAAAATTCACTTTAATCATTCGGATTTGTACGTCTTCGAAAGGTTGATATCTCAACTATAATAACATTTTCTACATCATCTGAATTTACTTATATAGGTAACAAAACATGCGGAGTGAAAAAAATCGCATTCTAATAATGCAAATTCTGATATAGATTATTCAAACCTGATGTACGAGAAGATGTATCCGAAGGTTGTGCTTTCACTCTATAAAAGAATAAAGTATTTTATTTTATAAGTTCACTTGATTTAAAAAGGAGTAAATAAACTTGCACTATGGTAAGAAACGAGAGAAATATAACTTCATTCATGTTTTGATTATTTAGATGATTTAGTTATACCAAGTTTAAAAGTTATATAACATTTAAAATGGTTAATAAATAAAGACAACGTCTTTAGCTTTTCGTTTCAAAATTCTAACTGAATTTTTAATTTTTTGTTACTTCCTATTTCTTATGTAATACCATTACACTGTAATATTGTTCTCTAACTTCTTAGAGGATAGGAAGAGGGGGTTATGTAATGGTATTGTGCTGATAAGAGCTTCTGTTAATTAGGTGTTTTCAAACAATAGAACAACAGTTCATAATAACATTGCTAGAATTAGTTCGTTGTCACGCCCACAAGATCTTTAACTGACAAAGTAATCGGCTGGCACCAATCATTAGAACCGTACCTCAATTTGAAAAGGAATCATATTTAGTTATCCTTTTGTTGGAAGAATTTTGTTTTCCAATTTTATTTATTAGTCACTTCATCGGAATGTAATACATTTACGATGGTTATGTGAACAATCATATTCGGGATAACTCCTTCTGTAAAGATTGGCTCACAGTCATCGTATTCGTCAGTGAAAGCTCCTTCACAGTCCTCGGTTACATATAGTTGAACATTTCCATTGATACAGTGATAATCACTACAACCAATACCATCAAAGGCACTCGAGTAAACGAAGTCTTCATGTTGATATATTTTTCCATTGTATGTACAAGGTGCATCTTTTGTGAGAAGAATGACAAAAAATGGTATTGAATTATTATTAACGGACATTAGTTTTAATTTTTTGTACCAAAAGTAGGAGAAGGTGTAGAAGTTGAAGGACATTCAAAATTGGGACAACAAACTCCCTCTGTAAAGATTGTTTCACAGTCATAGACGAGGATGTCAGGATCAAAAATTTCTTCACAAACAATGTAATATTGTTCTAAACTTCCATTGATGCAGTAGTAGCCCTCACAATGTCCTTCATCATATGAGCCAGTGTAAACTTTGTCTCCATTTTGATATGTTTTCCCATTGTACGTACAAAATTCTGTTTCTAAGAATAAAATTTAAAAAACCGCATTCTAACAATGCAAATTCTGATAAGTATTGATTAACTAAACCTGATGTACGGGAAGATGCATCCGAAAGTTGCGCTTTCACTCTATAAAAGAATAAAGTTTTTTGTGTTGTAAGTTCACTTGATTTAAAAAAGAATTAATAAACTTGCCCTACTATGCAGGTAAGAAATGTAAAAACTGAGAGAAAGCAAAATTTATTCATGTTTTGATTATTTAGATATGATTTAGTTATGCTAAGTAAAAAAGTTATGTAAAACTTAAAATGGTTGATTAATAAAGACAACGTCTTTAGCTTTTCTTTGCAAAATTCAAACTGAAACTTTTATTTTTTGTTTCTTCCTTTTTCTTATGTAATAATTATTACAGTAATATTGTTTTCTTACTTTTTATGGAATAGGAAGAGGGGGTTCTGTAATGGTATTGTGAAGAGCTTCGGTTAATTAGATGTTTTAAAATGATAGAACAACAGTTCGCTTAAATTAATTCATTGTCACGCCCACAACAAGATCTTTAACTGATTGTCAAGGTAATCGGGTGACACCAATCATGTCTACACACGTGGTTCAATTTCCAATAGCAAAAGAAATCATAATTAGGGTAGTTGGCTAGTAGTGACACCACCCGAAAACGCGTCCAGTAGTGACACCACTTTATTTCGATTTAATTTTATCTGCGATTAGGGCTTACCGGAAAAGGCGATTTGTTAATTATTTATCCTTGAACCTTCCTCTACCGTTATGTATTAACACATTCCTCCGGTAAGCTCTAAGAGCTGTTAAAATTAAACTAATAGAGTGGTGTCACTACTGGACGCGTTTTCGGGGGTGGTGTCACTACTAGCCAACTACCCTATTTATCTTATACTTGTACACTCTTCATGAAAATAAATATTTTGATGGGCCGTTAAATTCAAAAATTACCG